AGAATGGGAAAGACTAGAGATCTCTTCAAGAAAATTAGAGATACCAAGGGAACATTTCATGCAAAGATGAGCACAATAAAGGACAGAAATGGTATGGACCTAACAGAAGCAGAAGATATTAAGAAGAGGTGGCAAGAATACACAGAAGAACTATACAAGAAGGATCTTCATGACCCAGATAACCACGATGGTTTGATCACTCATGTAGAGCCAGACATCCTGGAATTCGAAGTCAAGTGGGCCTTAGGAAGCATCACTATGAACAAAGCTAGTGGAGGTGATGGAATTCCAGTTGAGCTATTTCAAATCCTAAAGATGATGCTGTGAAAGTGCTGCACTCAATATTCCAGCAAATTTGGAAAACTCAGCAGTGGCCACAGGACTGGAAAAGGTCGGTTTTCATTCCAATCCCAAAGAAAGGCAATGCCATAAAACGTAGCCACCCCATATTTTGGGGCCTCTTACCTCTGAGATGGCCCACACTCTGTGGAGTGTATTTCTTTTTAAATAAATCCATTTCTTATCTATCACTTTATTTCTCACAATAAAGTGTGAGAAATTTCTTTCTGCACTGAGAGACAAAGATTTTGATCCTCATTAAGTTCAGACACCAGGTGAGTCATTCTAATTAAGACAGCGCATTCAAGACTGAGTCTGAAAAAAAAAAAAAAAAGACTGAGTCTGAGTTACACAGCTTCACCTTGTTCGACTGAGCAGATCCTGAGTCCATGAAGCCTGCCCTGACCTGCAGGGGGAGAGTTTGAAGGGAAGGATGGTAGAACAGGAATTGTTGGGGGATAGAGCCAAGAGTGTAAGGTAAGAGTTGAAAGAAGAAAAATCTCTCCAAGGAAAAGTGACAAGATTTGAAGAGACATGAGAAAACAATGAATCTTAACAGGAGGTCTTTAGAGGCCCTTGCACCTCCCTATCAGACTGTGGAAGCCCCGTTGAGAACCTCAACTTTACCTCTCCAGCGCTGGGTTGCACAAGGTCTCTAGCAGGTACTCAATAAATGTTTGCTGACAAATGGGCAAATGAGGAGGGGAGTGCAGAAAGCGGGGTCAGGGGATTGGTGGGTGGGAGGAGACAAAACACCTAAGCATATGGGGCTCCAGGGCTGGGGTCTCAAGGCAGTGCTGGGGGCTGGGAAAATGGTGTTGGAAGGGCTTCAGAGGGGTGTGGGAAGGCAGGGAAGCCCCCAGGCTTGGTGAGAACCAGGTGTTGGGAGAAGAGGCTGTGGGATTGGAGAAGGAGGTGTTGGGGACATTGGCAGCATCTTCCTCGAGGGGAATTTCCGTCCTGTGGTGGCCTCTATGGGTCTCCTGGTGGCGTGTTCTAACCTCCAGCCCGGCTAGTGTAGTATCCTGGCTGGTCTCTTCGATCTATTTTTCTTGATCTCTGGCTCCTTCTCTGTTAGTCTCACATTCTGCCCTGTCTCCAGAATCTTAGTTTCTTTCTAACTCCCTGCCTGGGGCCCCTATCTCAGCATATATCTGCTTTCCTCTCTGTCTGCTGTGTCTCTCCGGGGTTATCTTTCCATTTTGCCCCGACACGCCTTCTATCCTCTCCACCCACCCAGATCCCGTCCAGTACCTGGGGTGGGAGTAGGGGAGAGACTTGGTCCTGAGGAGGCGTCAGGGGGCGGGCCCAAGCCCTTTCTCCAAATTTGCATATGCATGAGGTCGCCCAGGCCAGAGAGAGGAGGCGGGGCTTCTGGGGGCGGGGAAGGGGGCGGGCACCCTAGGAGCCACCGAGTATAAAGACCGCGCGCCGCGGCTGCTAGCCCTGCACTGCTGAAGAGCGGAGCCTCCGCCCGGGGGACCCCTATCCCTGCCTGTCCCCCCAACTGCGCGTCCCCACCCCACCCCCGTGGCCGAGCCATCTTTGGTGTGGCGGTCTCCACTCGTCAGAAGAGCCTTGAACAGTCACCCGACTCCTCTCCACAGCCTCTTTGCATCTCGGATTTCGGGGCGGCCCCATCCCCCACCTCTCCCTGCCTCTTTGCACCCCGATTTTTCTGTGCTTCGCTCGGGTTTTGCAGCCGTCTATTTTTGCATCCCTTTTCGTTTTGCTTCTGGGAGGTCTAGGGGGTGAAGCTGCGTTCGCACCCCTTCGCCTTTTTATCCTCCCCTGCTCGGACAACCCCCCTTTTCATTGCAGTGGGGGGGCCTAGGATCTGTTCATCTTACGCCGCGCCGCCAGCACCCCGCAGCGTGTGGCCTTGCGCCCCGGAATTTGCAGCGGCTGCATATCTGAGGGGGGGGGTCTCCCTTGGCCCGCTGCCTTTGCTCCCCGCGCGTTCCGGTGCGTGAGGGAGCTTCAGCGCGCCGCACCCCGGCTTCTTCATAGCCCCCCGCCCCGCGCGGGACTTGCACCCCGCCGTCAAGATGGTCATCCAGAAAGAGAAGAAGAGCTGCGGGCAGGTGGTTGAAGAGTGGAAGGAGTTCGTGTGGAACCCGAGGACGCACCAGTTCATGGGCCGCACTGGGACCAGCTGGGGTATGCGGGGCCTGCAGTGCGAGGGGCAGGAGGGTGGGGGGATCCGCCAGGCGACGCCCGGGGAGGACGAGGTCCCGCCGGCGCAGCCCCAGCTCCCTTCCTGGGTTCCCGGCGTCCGGCCCCCCTGCCGGGCTCCGGGCTGGGAGGGGGCCGAGTCGCCGGTCTAATCTCCCTGGCTGGCCGCTGCGGAGGCGGAGAAAGTAGGTCACTGCCGCCTTCCCGCCCCCCGCGGAGCCCCCTCGCGCGGGGGGTCGCGGGCTCTGCGCGCGTGTGCTCGCCGCGGCGCTTGCACTCCCTGTCGGGGGCCGGTCAGCTCCACACGGTCGCCCCCCTTCTCCAGAAGAGCGCCCCTTCCCTCCCTCTGATTCTCACTAGCCGGCCAGGCCCGTCTATTTTTAGCTCGTGCCCACCCCTTGGACCCTGGGAACATCATGAGGGGGCGGGTCTTGGAGAGGTGGGGTGTGTGTTGGAGAGGGTTCTTCACAGCGGAAGTTGTCTGGATCCCACTGCCTTGTGTTTTGGAGCCTTTTCTGGCTGCTTCGTGGGTGGGGGGCTGTGGGGCCGGGGTGCCACTGGGAGGTGTTCGGGGCTCGGTGTTGGGCTCAGATGTCACAAGCAGAGGGAGTGGTCACTGGTGGTGAGATGTGTACATCATCTGGGCCCTGTGCCTCAGGGCTTGGATGGCTTGGCACCTTCCCCACCCATACCTTGGAGGTGGAGTGTGGGACCACACATTTAGGAGATGTGGAGGGACTTGTGTCTGGTTGAGGGTCCAGTGCTGGGCATAGATGCTAGTGAAGGATGGATTTCTTCCAAAAGGGATTTTCAAGCTGGGAAGTTGAAGCACAGGAGACACTGTGTGACACAGTTTACAGTTCATCCAGACTGACCGAATGCTGTTCCCATTACCCACCCGCCAAGGGGCCCTTGATGTGGGTCTGATGCAGTCCTTGATGCAGGAAACATGAAGTCCAGTCTGTGGGATTGGAGGGGTCCTTGGGAGAATCTGGGGAGGCTTGGGGAAGTGTCTTCTGAGATGGAAGAACTTGAGATCTGGGAGAGTGGAAACAGCAAGTGCTCACACTAGGCTGAGGAGTGACACTGACTTGTCATGTCCACCAAGAGTCAGCTCTCTGCCTGCAAGGCTGTGGAAAATCTTTTACACCTGCCTCTGCCCTGAGCGCTGAGTGTGAGCTGGGGGTGGAGTGACTGTTGAAGGCTTTGGACAGCTGTCTCTGAGAGACTTTGTAGCTTTGGCCAGAGCCTAATTCAAGGTTCAGCTCTTGTAGGGCTCAGAGAGACAGAGAAGATTTTGCTGTTTGAGTGTGAGGGTCCACACCCTGAGAGATGGTTTGAGAGTTTGGTGGTGAATTGGGGCCAGTGCCAGCTTGAAAAGTCATCGTGCTGGACAACTTCAAGCATGAGTACCCATATAGCAGATGGTGTGCCTTTTCAGGGCCATGAAGGTTGACAAGTTGAGAATGTAATTTGTGGCAATATGACTGTGGCCTATACTAGGGGTTGTCCAAGCAACAAGAGTTTAGGTTTCTTGTGTCCTCCACAAAGTTGGGCTTCACTGTGCTGTAGGACCAGAAGGGCCTGGGAGCCATGGCTGGAAGCCAGACACACTGCCTTTTTCCAGCTTGTCTCCTTTTGCTCCCAGGGAAAGGCTCCCTGGGGCTCTGGGATCCTTTCCTGGGCAGAACCTCTGAGTGGGGGAGGGGCATGTGGCGACAGGATAGGTCATGGAAGGAGACCTGGAACCTGCTGACCCTATTTCCTCCCCTTTAGCCTTTATCCTCCTCTTCTACCTCGTCTTCTATGGCTTCCTCACCGCCATGTTCACCCTGACCATGTGGGTGATGCTGCAGACCGTCTCCGACCACACCCCCAAGTACCAGGACCGATTGGCCACACCAGGTGAGTGATGAGGCCCCTCCACCAGCCAGGCTTACTAGTCTGGTGCCCCCAAGTCTCCCAAAGGAACTTGCAGGTTGAGAACTGTCAGCTCATAGAGGTTTGGTTCTGATGAGCCAGTCACCTTGTGCTGGGCAGTTCTTGAAGGCCGCCTTCACACTCCCCACAGCTGAGAGCTATGTGAGCTGGGGAGGTGGCAGAGGGTCACAGGAGATCTCCCTCCCCAGAAGGTGATCTCAGATCTTCCCGTCATCCCTCACCCTGGTGTTCCCCACGTCCATCTTCTTCCCTCTGTGTGTGGTCATTCGTCTTACATATACCCCCTCATTCTTGCCTCTGCTGACTAGGCTTGATGATTCGCCCTAAGACTGAGAACCTCGATGTCATTGTCAATGTCAGTGACACTGAAAGCTGGGACCAGCATGTTCAGAAACTCAACAAGTTCTTGGAGCGTGAGTATGGGGTCGATGGCTATGCAGGACTTCGAGCAGGGGGTTGGGGACCCTGGGAGCAGAACATGAGGTCTGTGACTCTCTCTCGCCCACCTCCTTAGCTTACAATGACTCCATCCAAGCCCAGAAGAATGATGTCTGCCGCCCTGGTCGCTATTACGAACAACCAGATAACGGAGTTCTAAACTACCCAAAACGTGCTTGCCAGTTCAACCGGACCCAGCTGGGCGACTGCTCTGGCATTGGGGACCCCACCCACTATGGTTACAGCACTGGACAGCCCTGTGTCTTCATCAAGATGAACCGGGTACTAATATCCTTAGTCCCCAGGGAGAATGGAGGAGGGAGCTACCATCTGCTGGCAGTTGCTTTCTTTTACTGGGGCTCTTGGGCTTCGGGAGACTTTTAGATGTTTGAGTGGCTGAGAGAACAAGAGAGATGTGACTGCTGGAGGCTGAGATCATGGCTGGGGGGCTGGATATTTCTGTTTTTGACAACTTCTTTTCCTAACCCTCATCACTCTTTCTCCTCACTCCAGGTCATCAACTTCTATGCAGGAGCAAACCAGAGCATGAATGTTACCTGCGTGGGGAAGGTGAGTTTGTTGGGCCTTGTCCACCTGTTTGCCCCATCTGTTTGTCCTTATGGTTTCCATGTCATTCACTCATCTCTCCCTATCTTCTTTGCTCCCAGAGGCCCCGTAACTCTAGGGACAAGGGGGTAAGCATGGGCTTCAATATGGTTCAAACTCCAAGGCTCTGCCACCCCTCTTGCTTCTGTCTAGGATGCAGAAGTCTGCTCTTTTATATGGATAGACACCCTCTCCCTGACTCTACCCGAGCCCCTGCATCTGGCTTCTCTCCCTGATCCTTCCATCTTCTCTATTCCCTGACCATGTCTTCTGCTCTCAGTCTCATGTCTCTTCTGCCCTCAGTTCTTTTTAGGTATCTGGTAGCTGCTGGTCTGTGAGCACCACCTGCCACCACTAAGTTGTCCTTGGAGCCCTGCTCCCCCCACCTCTGTCCCTCTAGGAGCTTCCTGCTCCTCTTGCTTCATCCCCCTCCTCGCTTCCTACTGAGCCCTTACTCATTGATCTGTTCTCTCTTGGCTCCGCTCCAGAAACCAATTCCTGAGGATGGGGTAAGAATTTGGGGTGGGAGGGCAGTAGAAGGCTTTGGGCTCCTTAGCACCCTGGAGGACTTCCCAGTCTGATGGAAGAGACAGGACACCCCTTCCTGTGCATGTGCAAATATACCAGACTCAGCAGCACAAGGGATACGGATTTGAGAAAGCACAGTCTGGGGTGAAGGAGGAACAAAGGGAAGTCTGGCCAGCGGCTGAGTTCCCGCCATCCCTAACATGCTCTCCTCCATCCTCCTGCGCCCCCCACAGCGAGATGAAGATGCTGAGAATCTCGGCAACTTCGTTATGTTCCCTGCAAACGGCAACATCGACCTCATGTACTTTCCCTATTACGGCAAGAAGTTCCATGTAAGTCCTGCGGGAGGCCGGGTGCTGGCTCCTCCAGGGGAGCAGGGTGCGGGGTTGCAGGCCCAGCTGCCTCAGGCCTGGAGCCTCGCTCTCCTCCTCTGGCCCAGGTGAACTACACGCAGCCCCTGGTGGCCGTCAAGTTCCTGAACGTGACCCCCAACGTGGAGGTGAACGTGGAGTGCCGCATCAACGCTGCCAACATTGCCACTGACGATGAGCGCGACAAGTTCGCGGGGCGTGTGGCCTTCAAACTCCGCATCAACAAAACCTGAGGCCCCCTTCCTCCCGCCCCCACCTCTTTCCTACGGATGCTTCTGGAATACCCCTGACCCCGCCTGATCCCTCCCTCACCCACCCCAAAGGTATTTTTTATAACAGAGCTATGGCTTCTCTGAGCCTCGCGCCCTTTTCCTTTCCTTCTGAACCCGACCTGACGTCTGTCATGATTCTCTGGTTGCGCACATAAAGCTACCCACTCCAGTCTTCTGGCCTGGAGAATTCCTTGGACTGTATAGTCCATGGGGGTCACAAAGAGTCGGACACGACTGAGTGATTTTCAGTTTCTTTTCTTTTCACTCACCCACACACAGACGACAATCTCTTCATGCTTATCTCCAGACAGAATGTGGCACTCCATTCTTTTATTTAAAATAACTGAAGTATAATTAACTTACAACACTGCTGTTAGTTCCAGGCACACAGCTTAATGATTTAATACCTCTGTAGGCTACAGAGTGGTCACCGGCGTGACCCTCTATCCTCCCATGCCAGCTCAGCCGCTGTCCCCCTCCCCCATCTCCCACACCTTCTGCCTTGTCTACCACAGTTGCTCTCAGTGGCTTTTGACTTGTGTGGCTCCTCTGGTCAGTCTTTCCCCACTTCTCCATCCCCATTCCCTCCACTGAAAGTGGGACCACTTGTAACTGAAGACATGGTGGCTCTGTGGCCTTTTCCTTCTTTCCTGGCACAGCTGGTTTCTCACTCTACGTTGAATACGTGAGCTGGGAATGAGGGTCTGAAAGAGAAATCCCTGTTGGGTCTTGAAAATTCTCTTTCCCGTCTCCTATCACTCCTCAAGAGGGGCGGGGTTGACCTAGGCTGAATATCCACTTTGTTTTTGCCGATGGCTCCCTTCCCTCTGTTCCCTTTCCCAGAATATCCTGCAAGTTCTACTTCCCAGGCACCCTGGGGGATGGGCAGCCACTTTGGCTGGGTCCCCAGTGGCCACCTTGGAAACGTCAGCTGGTTATGGGACTATTCCATCTCCTTCCCCTCCACCCAGATCTGCTCCCCCACCCCCATCCTCTCTGTGGCTTCTCTTAGCAAGTTATCAACTAATCACTAACTCCTCCCCTTTCTTCCGCATGCCAGCGTGAAAATTGCAGATACCTCCTCCTTTTAAGACTCTGAATTTCTTGGCTCCATCTCCTTCAGACCCCTTTGCCTTTTTAAACAACCCCATAGTGCCCATAGAATGTTAAATGAGGGACCTCCTGTGTTCTTGAGTTATAGAGGCAATTTTAACTCTTTCTTCTCCCACGCCCTTCACTTCCCCACCTATAATTTCCCTGATCTTTTTTGATGCTGCAGCTTCCACACCCCACCCGTGGGTGGACCCTCCCCTGTTTTTCTCTGGCTGGATCTGAGTCTCTTCCCTTTGGATCCCATTGTTTTCCTGCACTCCCCTCACCCAAGTGGTCTCTCTCTGCAGTTATTTAATGCCTGTGTCTGATCTACTGTAAAAAGAGGATAAAGTACAATAAAATGAGAGCAATTATATATATATATATATAAATATATATATCATACCTGGAGCCCTGCGTGCAGGTTGTTCCTTTCTGAGCTTCTGGAGGAGCCCTGGGAAGGGGGTGAGGGGTGGACTTGGGTGATCTGAGGGTCACCCAGCCCTTGGGAGGACCACTTCCCTGCTTTGATCTCTTGTCCAGTGTCCAAGCGTCTACCTCCTAGATTGCTCCATCACCCATACTGTCTTGAGATCAATCAGTCAATACAAGACAGGCAAGAAGCCTATGTCCTTCTCTACAGCTATACTTATAAAGTGCCTACTATGTGCATTCTAGGCATCATGAAGATACACTTATGAAAGAGGCAGAGTTCCTGCCCCCAAGGAGCTCCCCAGTATAACAGGAGAGGGGAGGAGCACACGAGAAACTCTCAAACCAGGTAGACCTAAACGTATTTCCAGGAAGGAGAGAAAGCTGGTGAGGACAAAATTCAGAGTGGTCAACCACTCTCTGGGGGGTGGGGGGGGGGTGGGTTGATAAGGAAGGTTTCTTAGAGGCTTAAAGGATGGGGTGGCTTTGGGGGAGAGGCTAGCATCAGCAGATGCCCAGAGACATGTGAGGACAATTGACTGAAAGAAACAGATCTCAAAACAGTATGAACCATAGGATCCCGATTTTGTGTGTAAAAAAAGCACACAAGCATAGAAAAAGGATGGATGAGTCTGTACAACAATATTTATTGTGGTATTTGGGGATGGGTTTATAGCTAATTTTTATTTTCTTGGGGTTTATTTGTTTTTGTTTGCAATGAGTTCGCCTTGAAAAAATAGCTTTATTACTTGTGCATTCACATATATATACAGTTTTATCTTGAGTGCATAGTACACATACATGGATTGCTGGGTTTTGGTCATATAATACACATTATACATATTATGTGTGTGTGTGTGTGTTAGTCACTCAGTTGTGTTCAACTCTTTGTGATCCCATGGACTGTAGCCTGCCAGGCTCCTCTGGAGTGGGTACTGGAGTGGGTAGACAATTCCTTTTCCAGGGGATCTTCCTGACCCAGGGATTGAACCCAGGACTACCTGCATTGCAGGCAGATGCTTTACCGTCTGAGCCACCAGGGAAACCCATACATATTATATTAGATCATATTATAGACAATTTTGTGCATTACACTTGTTCATTCAATTTCACCTGGCCTGGTAGAGCTCTAATTCATTTTTTTAAATGGCTGCATAATATTTTTTCTATTGGGTTGTTCTTTTTAATTTCTTTTCTTTTTTTTCATTTATTTTTATTAGCTGGAGGCTAATTACTTTACAATATTGTAGTGGTTTTTGCCATACATTGACATGAATCAGCCATGGATTTACATGTGTTCCCCATCCCAATCCCCCCTCCCGCCTCTTGTTAATTTCTTAGAGCTTCTTGACAGTTGTAGATATAAACTGTTTTCTGCATTGTAGATTTCCCCCAATCAATTGTTTGTCCCTTGAGTTTGTGGTGGCTTCTTTACTGTTAAAAAGTGGTTTCTTTTTTAAATTTTTTTGGCCACACGGCATGGCTTGTAGGATCTTAGTTCCCAGACTAGGGAGCAGGGATCGAACCTAACCCTCAGCAGTGAAAGCATGGAGTCTTCACCACTGAACTGCCAAGGAATTTCCAGAAGGCTATACTCATATTTTGTAAAAATATTTTGGGCAGGATTTTATTTCATTTTAATTTTTACATATGCCTTAATTCCTTTGCCTATTTTTAAAAAAAAATACAACTAAAAATTTAATTTATTTACTTATTTATTTTTGGCTTCACTTCTCAGCTTGAGGGATCTTCCATGACCAGAGATTAAACCCCAGCCTCCAGCAGTGGAAGCTTGGCATCCTAACCACTGGACTGCCAAGGAATTCCCATACTTGGTCTATTTTGATTTCTTTTGTGTGTGGTACAAATGAAGAGTCTGGTATTATTTTATTAGTGTGTCAGCTTCATTAAAAAAAATTCTTAATTTACTTACTCCCATTGGTTCTTGGGTCAGGAAGATCTGGAGAAGGGATGGGCTACCCACTCCAGTATTCTTGGGCTTCCCTGGTGGCTCAGATGGTAAAGAATCTGCCTGCCATGAAGGAGACCTGGGTTTGATCCCTGGGTTGGGAAGATCCCCTGGAGTGGGTTGGAGGAAGGCATGGCAACCCACTCCAGTATTCTTGCCAGGAGAATCCCCATGGACAGAGGAGCCTGGTGGGCTACAGTCCATGGGTTTCCAAAGAGTCAGACCTGACTGAGCAACTAAACACTTTGAACTGAAATGCCAACTTTGGCTGTATAATACATTTTACTATATACTGAGCTCTTCTGGATTCACTGCTGCCTTGTCTACTACTCCATATACCAAGCCATATTGATCTGATTCCAGTTGATTTTATAGTCTGTTTTCTGATATCTAGCAAGGCAAGCAAGCCCTCTGCCCATTCCTTTTTAAAAACAACTATTGGTTACTTGGGGGCATTTATTCTTCTCTATGAATTTATGACAAATATATCCAATTCTCAAAAACAAAAGCCATCAAGACTTGTTGAGATTCTAATTGTAATTGCATTGTATTTTTATTTCAGGAGAACCGGTCTTTTTTTTCAGATAGTAAGTTTCCCCATGTAAGAACAGGTTATCTTTTCCTTTTGTTTGGAGCTTGGTTTATGTCCTTAAATAAGGTTTTATAATTTTCTCCATATAGAGTCTGTGCCATTCTTTCATTTTTTGTGTGATTCTTGTGAAACTTATCCCTAATTATTTTATTGCCATCTACCCTTATTAGCTTAATTCCATCACCTATTATTAACCAAGAGGTTAGTTTTTAGGTACATAAACATAATCATATGATCCAAAAAGCAAAAATATTTATTTTTTAACCAACGCTTTGTTTTCTTCATTTCTAAAAATCCTCTTGAGTGCTCTAAAACTGATGTTAGTGGGCACTGTTGCAGTGAAAGCAAGTCTTAACACTGCCAGGGAAGTCTCTTGTGTAGTTCTAATTTAAATTGAAATGACCTTAGGGTTTAACCATTAGGATAACACCAGTATTCCATTACTATTTTTTTTTTGGCCAAGTAGAATGTGGGATCTTAGTTGCCTGACCAGGGATCAAACCCAAGCCCCTTGCAGTGGAAGCACAGTCTTAACCACTGGACTACCAGGAAAGTTCCTCCATTACTATTTTAATTTTTTTTTAAAGGAATGGCTGCTGAAATTTAATCAAATTCCTTTCAGCATCTGTTGATATGATCATATTTTTATTCCTTAATTTATTAATATAATGAATTATGTTGACAGACTCTCTATTAAACCAATTTTATGCTCCTGGAATAAACTCTACTTGGTTATGTTATATTGTTTTGATTCATCAACATATATTTTTTGATACTATTTAGTGATTTTGCATCTCTATAAATTACTTTGCATGTAATTTTTTAGTATCTTGATTAAGTTTTAATATTAATGAAACCACAAAAAATTTATATGAATTAGAGATTCCATTTTTCCTATGGTCTGGAATAGTTTGTTTAAACATTGGATTAATTTGCTCTTACTCTTCCTTTTTTTTTCAATCAAACTCTTGAGTTTTTCTCTTTGTTTAAAGTGTATCTTTTTTTCCGCCCTTGAGTCCTGCTTTTGAATTTATTCTTTCAACCAACTTGGCTTTCTCTTTCAGTAAGTTATATCTTTAATTTTTAGGATGCATGCTAGCTTCCTTTTACTTTTTTAAAATAAAGAAAGCATTTATGGCTTTACATTTTCCTCATTGTACTTTTGCTGAGTGTTACAGATTTGGGGGCCCCTGTGTTCCTGAAATCAAAGAGACAGTTTTTAAAATTATTCTAAACCTTAGCACAACAGGATTTGGGCTCTTTGAGTGTGAGTGCAGGGCCAAGTCTGCCACGGGTCCCCCCAACACACAACAATCCTGAGCATACAGTAAGGCATCAGTCAATGAATATCCGCTGGCTAGATTGTCAGGAGGGAATACAGCCAGAGGGAAGGAAGTGAGCAAGTAGGACCAGAGAGGTCAAGGACTCATTGGAAGTCACATAGCTTAGTAGAACTGGCCTGAAAACCCAGGACTAATAATTCTCAGACCAGTAACCTATCAGAACACAAAGGGATTGGCAGAGCCAGAAAGGCTCTGCTTTGTGAAGGAGTAGAGCAGAAACAAAAAGAGCTAAGGACACACTCTAGAGAAGTGTGGAGTGTAGCGGGGTGCAGGACACTGGTCAGAAAGGCTCAAGGTGACCTGTCTACAGGAGTGAGGCGAGGAAATAAGTTTCAACTGCTCTCGTTTACCAAGGGCCTGGCTTGTGGGGAGAGATGGCAAAGTTAAAGATCTCTACAAGAGGTGGCTCTGGGTATCCTGGGGAGTGTTTGGCATTCTCCAGCAAGGAAGAAGTGTGGTTTCGAGGCCAGGGAGCCGGTGGCTTCACAGCTGTCTGGGATCCTCAAGGTAAGCCTGGGGATTCCCTCGGGGACTTTAAGCCAGGTTGAGGGAGCAGCGGTCCCAGAAGCCCCTCTGGACCTTACTCTGCTCTCTCCGCCCCCAGGGAGGAGGCAGGATGAGCTGTGTCCCCAGTCTGGCCATCCTTCCAACACTGGCTCAGGCAGCAGTGGCGGGTGTGGGGCGATGGGGAGTGCCTGCCCCCAGCCCCCCACCCTGGGAGCTGGCAGCTCTAAGGAACAGAACGGGTTGGAAAGGGGTGCAGGGCTCCCCAGGCTCGACTCTCCTCCCTACCCCAAGAAGTCCTTTGAAAGGTTTTCCTGGCAGAGTTTAAAGCTTCCATTCATTCAGCTGGCTGGCACGAGGCCCGGGTGAGGGGACGCCGGGAAGGCCCAAGTCCCACGTCCCAGCCCTCACCTTAGCCGCCCCCACTTCCCAGGGACCCTGGCTGGCAGGCCTTGTTCTCCCTCCTCACCATAGCACCCACTGTCTTTCCCCTTGAGAACCCAGGTATCCTGCCCCTTTCCTGGGGAGCAGATGGCCACCCCGGAAGCTCAGGCTTACTAAATCAGACATTTAAATCCCGTAATCCTTGGTGAGGCTGAGAGGGGGCAGCAGCCCAATCCTAGAAGAGGAGCAGAGACCTTGCGCCAGCCCTGGCAGGAGGGGAGGGGGGACAGTCGGTTCCCAAGTTATGAATGGAGGCACCCCTTCCCTTATTGTCATGCAGCCTGCAGACTGACCCAGTCTCCAGGCTTTGTTCTCCTCCAGGAAACCAGGCACTGGCGCCGCCTGCCGCCACCCTCCCGACTCAGGTGGCTGCTTCCCAAACTCACTCCCTTAATTCACCCCTGCACTGGCCCCAGTCTCTCAAGACACACAGGTGGTAGCAAAGTTTTATTGTAAAATAAATTGATATAAAAAATGGGATATAAAAAGGGAAGAGGAGGGGTGTGTGTGACACATGCAGATGTGCCCTGCAGAGTACAGAAGAAATCTGCTGAAGCATTTGGGGGAAATAAAACAGGTGCTGGCAGATAGAGCAGGGATGGAAGCCACTCGGATCCAGGATAAGGTGAGCTTTCCCCTTTGGTACTGAGGTTCACCAAGGGGTTATGATCTGGCAGGGCCAGGAGAGAAGGGACTCGGAGACTTCTTCCCTTTAACCAGCCATCCAGTCAGAAGCTGTCAAATCATCCACCCAGGGGGACAAAGAACCAGCACCCACAAAAGGCACTAAGTCCCAGACATCATGTAATCAAATGATGGTTTTGGGGCCAGACATACATTATTTCATCAACCCTCACAACAAACCCCCGGTGAGGTAGGTATGATTATCAGTTTTTTATAGATGTGAACAATGAAGTCAGGAGAAAATCAAACAACTTAAGATAGCTTCCCTGGCTAGTATGGCAGAGAACTGAGTTTTCCAACCCAGAAAACTCAGTGTATGGCTGGTTATAAGATGTTCCTCACACGCAGGAACACCTTCTGACCTCTCCTGAAGGCTGCTCACAGTAAAAACCTTGAAAGCTAAGCTGGAAAGCGCCAGCACCCCCCAAATCCCCAGAAAACCACGAGCACAGGTCTGCCTCTTTGGCAGAGCCGCAGGCTGAGCAGACGAAGAATCCCAGGGGGTTTCTAAGGCGCACCTGCACCAAACAGAGGTCTAAGCACCTGAGTCTCAAAAAACGCCAGGGAAGGGGTGGGGGATGAGGGTGGGGATGTCAACCAGTGACAGGAAGCAGAAGACATCAGTCTGAGTCAGGCCCTTCTCTCTTGAGCATTGGTTTTTTATGGCAGGAGGGAGAAGACCCCTTCTTAGACTTCAGGTGGCTGTGAGGAGAGAGGGGAGGGGAGGAGATGACGTCATCTGAGTGAGAAGCTCTGGGCCCTTCTTCCTGGACCTAAGCTTCGAAGGGCTCGAGGCGGGAGCAAGGAAAACTTACGGTAAAATGGTCACCGCCAAGGGCAGACATGCTGACTGAGCACCTCGGGGTACTTGTGGGTATGAGTCTCTTAATCTTCCCTTGTCCCAGCTGACACATGAGGAAACTGAGCCCGGGAGGGGAAGTAACAAGGCCAACATGACTCTTCAGTACTTTGCAAGGCTGAGCATCTGACTCCAAGGCCTGATATCCCATAGTTATCAGGTCTCTGTTTGAGACCCTAGCTCTGAGAGTCTAGGGTTTGCTAGAATAGGCAAAGAAACATCCATGCCCCGGACCCCTGGAGGCAGGAAAGTGGAGGAAGCCTAAAGAATGTCTGGGCAGGGTTGGGATCCAGCGGCAGGGTATCAGCTGCCTTCTACCTTGAAGGGAGGACCAGAATGGAATGCCATGGCTTTCTAACACAGGAAAGCAGCAGATGTGTGTGTGTGTGCGCGTGCTCGGGCACTGGGGAAGACCTGGATCACTCACCTAGAGTGAGCCCTGCTTTCCCCTGGTTCCCTTCTAGCCTGAGCATCCCTCAGCTCCAAGGCCTCATTCAGCTCTCGGAACATCTCAAAGCGTTTACGCCCACGGATCTGTGGCAAGGAAGGAAGGGAACAAAGAAATACTAAGCAAAGTCGCTACAAGAACCAAGGGGCTCCCCCAGTAGCTCAGTGTTAAAGATTCCACCTGCCAATATAGGAGACATGGGTTCAAACCCTAGGTGGGGAAGATCCCCTGGAGCAGGGAATGGCAACCCACTCCAGTATTCTTGCCTGGGAAATCCCATGGACGAGGAGCCTGGTGGGCTACAGTCCACGGGGTTGCAAAAGTCAGACACGACTAAGTGACTAAACACCACAGCCACCATCACCAGTGAATCATGGCCATGGACAGAGGAAAGGATGACTAGAAAAAATGGGCTTAACCTCACATCTGCTACATTTATATTTTTTCTTCCCTTATGCCACCCTGTGGAGTGGGGGCAAGAGACTGCACCTCTCTCTCCCCCAGACCTGGTACCTGAAGAGTGAAATATTCTCCATCCAGTGGTTTCTTCTTTTGCTGTGGAGAGGAGCTGGTGCTGGTAGGCAGTGCTGGGAAAGAGGCAAGGAAAGGTGAGAAAAAGAGTGAATTGGGGGCAGAACTGCACCCTTGTTGCCTCTTCTACCTCCTGCTCACCTCGCTTAGTGCTCCCAGGGGGTGGCTCGGGGCAAGACTGCCCCTTCTTGTAAAAATTTTCTTCCTCAATGCGGCGGTCTCTCCCAGGACAGGCACAAACACGAACCTCAAAGCTGTTCCGTCCCAGCAGGTTACCACTACCAGGGTAGGAAGAGGGAAGCAGGAGGCAATCAGAAACGGGGACCCTGTCTGTGTTCTCCTGTGAACCAGACCCCACCTACTCCCAACCACCCCCGTCCCAAGGGGAGCCTGAGCTCTAGCTCCAGATTGAGAAGACCCTGGCAAGAGAGGTCCCAAAGCCGGAGAAAGGAGGGAGCGAGCAGCAGAGGACGTCCACAAAGGGAATGCAGTGAGAGGGAACGATGGCCGGTAGTGTGGGAGAATGTGGTGAGGGGCAGGGCCCCGGGGACAGGCAGGCAGAGGCTAGGGAGCAAGCTAGCGTGGAGGGTGGTGTGTGGTCCCTACCGAGAGTCTTCCAGTGTGATGATGGTGAGGATGGGCCGCCGGTTCATGCCCCCCATGCAAGAGCTGTTACACATGAAGTTGTAGTGGATGGTGGTGCACTCAGAGGCGATCTGGGAGAGAGCACAGGCCCGGCGTGAGGCTACCCAGCCCTGGGGAGGCTGTCGGCCTCTGTGAGCCTGTTTGCTCAGCTGTGGGATGGGGATAACCCATCCGCTCTGCACACCTCACAGGGCTGTGGAAGGTCAAGTAAGGAGGAGAAAGGCCCCTCCCTGCCACCTAGGATGGTCACGGACAAACCCCCTCCCCCCGGAAACCCCAGTTGGCAAACTGGACCTCGGGCGGCTCATAGGGCACCACCACACTGTGTCGAAAAGTGTTCCGGTCGTCCAAATACTCGGCGCGTAAATTCCCTTCCACCCGGATAAGGTGCTGAGGAGGGGCCAGACCTGAGAGCAATCAGAGAGGAATTAGGGGCTTGGGCGCTCCGGGTGCCAGGCCGGTCCCAGCCACAGTCCCCGCTGCTCACCATCGCTATAGTCAGAGCGCTCATGGTGGGGACAACGCCTCACAACCTCCGTCATGTGCTCCGACTTCTTGTAGACGGCCATGGCGCGGACGCGGGTGCCGGGCGGAGGTGGCAAGTCGACCCATAGCTGCACCGGACAGGTCTTGGCCAGCTGGCAGAACAGCTTGTTGAGGGAAGGGGAATACTGGAGGAGAAGGAGGAAGAATGAATGGAGGGTCAGGGGACAAGTACCCAAGGGTTGAATATACAAACACCAAGTACCGATTGGAAGCTGTGTCCTGTGAGGGGAGGGTAGCTAGAGATGGCAGGGTTGGGGGTGGGGGTCCACGTCCCAGAAGCATACTTCCAATAGCCACAGAATGAATGCGAGTGAAGAAAAAAGGAAGAAAGAAATGGCCTCATGACAGATACTGAGAATGTGATGGGAAGGATGAAAACCCAAGGGTCAAGGGGGAAAATGTAACCTTGGGATGGAGTCAAAGGTCACAGACTAACTAGGTAAGATCTAAAAAGACTGACAAAAAGCCAAAGGCTGAAATGGAACCCCAAACTTCTGAACAGAACACCCCTAGGCTGTATGGCCAGGCACTGATAGGGAAGCCGGCTCCCCAGAGCCACTGACCGTGCAGGTTACAGACTTGGCTGTTCCGGAATGCAGGAACCCTAGACGGAAACCGTAATTGCCAGGGTAGGTCTTCTGGGAGGGGATGAAGGACGACAGGGGCCAGGAGGTGGCTGGTGTTGGGGTGGCTGGTGGCAGGGCAGCTGGGGCAAGAGGCTCTGCCATCTGGGGGGCTTCATTCGGACATTCATCCAGCCAGTTGGCAACATCTTCTGAAGTCATTACGGGTGATAGCAGGTCACTCACGGGTGAGGAGAGCTCGGAGGACTACAGACAGGAGGAACGTGTCAGAAGGCCCAGTTCACATCCTCTGGCCCCGTAGCCCCCAGGTCCCGCTTGTTCCCCAGGCCTTACCAGAAGGTTGTTTTCAGGAAGTCTGAAAGAAAGGAGTAGAAAGTCAGGACTGGCTTTTGTTTCTCATAGGGCTCTACTAGGGGGCTGGGGACCAGGGTGAGGCAAGGTTACTGGACGCTAAGCAGTGAACCTGCTGTCCCTCCAGACCCCCACTCACAGGTTCCACAAGTCGGAAAATGTCTCCTGACTCAGAGGGGGCTCCATGCCGAGTTCTGCCTGTGACTCTTCCATTGTAGCTCCCTGGAAGGTTGTGTGGCCTCTGGAGGGAGAAAAGTGAGGATCCAGCCTGAGACACACCCAACCCTGGGTCACCCAGCCTGGAGGCAGGAGGGACCCCCTCCACCCACAGCACAACGGGAAGCTGAGGATCTGCTGGGGGGTAGGGGAGGCGCCTGCCCCACCCCTCAGCAGTCTTTATCACACACTTCCTCGAGGGATAAAGGCAACCCGAGAGGGACTTCCAACCTTCCCACCACTGAATCCACAAGCGTTCCTCAGTACCTACGTATTTCTGCCCTCCTTTGCAGTAATAAGGATGAAGTAACTCTCGGCTCATTTCCTCTGCCCCCACCCCTCCACCTGCTCCCTTGGTATGGTTCCTCACCCTGGCTTACAGATCCCTCAGGGCCCAACCCCCACCCACCTCTCTGACCTCACCTCTTAGCACCCTCTCCCTTTTCTGGCTTCCCCGGTGGCTCAGACGGTAAAGCGTCTGCCTGCAATGCGGGAGACCTGGGTTCGATCGCTGGGTCGGGAAGATCCCCTGGAGAAGGAAATGGCAACCCACTCTAGTACTCTTGCCTGGAAAATCCCAAGGACAGAGGAGCCTGGTAGGTTACGGTCCATGGGGTCGCAAAGAGTCGGACATGACTGAGCAACTTCACTTTCCTTTTCTGATGCTCATCAGGCACTCCCAGTTCACTGAACTGGGGACCCTGGGCCCTGCATCCCTACAGGGTGACCTCCTTCTCACCGACCTCATCATGAATGTCACACCTTAGCAGGGATGTGTCCTCAGACTTCTCCATCACAGCCAGCCAGCTAAACCCTGTCACCTTATTAATTCAGGTCACCCTACTTTAATTCTCGTGGTACTTACACTATGTTACCTTTCCCTGCTCATTTTGCCTGTTTCCTCTATTGGAATATAAACGTCTTCAGGGAAGGGAAGTTGTCTTGCTCACCAGTTACTAGCATAATGGCCTGCACCTGGTCGGGCTCAATAACTGGGGTGAATAAGTGAATCCTCGTGCCGGGCTGTAAACGGGTTGAGTAGTCAAGGGAGCCAGGGGGACAGGGGTGGTGGCTGCTGCCTGGGCCAGGGCCCTGTCACCACCATCTCATCTCCCAGGCTAGCTTTCAAGTAGTTTCAACATGCCATCTTTCTTGATGCCAAATTTGTCATCAGCTTTGCTCAGAACCATGCCCACTGATGAAAGTCCATGTTCACTACACTTTTCTTCTGTGTCCATGGTAATGACCCCCCCCCCTCCCCAAGCAAGCAGCTCTTGTGGGCTTCTCTGGTGGCTCAGATGGTAAAGAATCTGCCTACAATGTGGGAGACCTGGGTTCAATCCCTGGGTTGGGAAGATCCCCTGGAGGAGGGCATGGCAACCCACTCCAGTATTCTTGCCGAGTCCCACGGACAGAGGAACCTGGCAGGCTACAGTTCACGGGGTCACAAAATAGTTGGATACCACTTAGCAACTAAATCAATGTGGGAGACCTGGGTTCAATCCCTGGGTTGGGAAGATCCCCTGGAGGAGGGCATGGCAACCCACTCCAGTATTCTTGCCGAGTCCCCATGGACAGAGGAGCCTGACGGAGTCGCAACGAGTCGGATACGACTGAGCACGCACACACACACAAAGGTTCACCTGCACCTTTCTGTTGACATAGGGTCTGCGTACTTATGTAGTGTGCAAAATCGTTTCACGTGGGGTATCTTGTTGTTGTTGTTCAGTAGCTAAGTCGTGTCTGACTCTTTGAGACTTCATGAACTGCTGCACACCAGGTTTCCCTGTCCTTCACTATCTCCCGGAGTTGGGTTATCTTACTTGTCCAGATAACCACACCTGCCTCTTGACAGGTGAGAACATCTTAGAGAGGTTAAGTGGTCCGCCCACAATACATATAGGTGAGTGAACGAGCTTTTATGAAAAATGACTGTTTGAAGGTCTAGGATTAAGATGCTTACTTCATTACAGACTATCCCGCAGAGCTGCCTTTCATAATCGGTTAAGTCTGGAGGAGAAGATTTTAGCTGATGAAAGTCCATCAACTGAGAGGTTGGCAAAGGGCCACTTATAGCTCCCAAAGCTGATGGGGGATGGATTCTGAATGCGCCTGGAGGAAGGCAAGAGGGGACAGCCAAATGTTTGCCTTGGGGGAAAGGACCAGGGTTTCCCCTAGATGGATGATCAACATAACTTTCCAGACTTTTATGGAAGGGAAGCTGTTTATGTAGAGATGGGGCGCAGAAGTCAAAAGCCCTGGGCTTGATGCTGTATCGTCAGTTAAATTTGCTGCATGACCGCACTCATCTTAAATCTCCCAGGGCAAATATGGCAGAGCATGGGCTCTGGAGGCAGACAGGCTAGGCCTGCGTCCCGAGCCACCGTCTAATAACTGTTTAACTTTGGGAGGTTGCTGAACCTCTCTGTGCTTCCGTGTCCTTTGCTATAAAATAGTATCCCACTGATTATGGGAAATATAAAGAGTTGAGAAAGCAGATAGCAAGCACTCAATAAACATTTATCTTTATATGGTCATCCCAATTTTACTTGTTCTATATTATTGCTGGAGAGCTTTGTGACTGGGAGGGGGTGGGGCTTTTAAGGTCCTGCTGGGAGTTTTGCTAGTTCACCCCCTTCAGGCAACTGTGTTCAATAAACAGGTTGGGAGGGCTGTTCTGGGAGGGTGGGCCAAGGTCTCAGTCCCACAGGGAGAGGGAGAGCCCTGTGGACCTAGGAGGTCTCCCTCTCAGTCCTTGGTAGCAACTGAATTCTCATTTTCTTTCTCTAGGAAACTTCTTCAGAGCAGGTACGTCCCTGCGGGTGTGAACATCAGGGGGTCATGATACTAAATTGTCAGAGGCTGAAACCAGACCCTCCTGACGGCTTTTCAAAGCAGCCCCCTGGGAACGCAGTAAACTCAGCTGGGACTTAAAGAAGAGACAGGCCGATCACTATCCTAACAATGGCTGCTGTTTATATAGACCTTACTGGATCCACTGCTTTCAGTGGCTTATCTCAGTAATCCTCTCAAAAAGCAAGTAAGGTAGGTAATATCATCAGAGGAGAGAACAAGGTTAACGGAATTACCCAGGCTCAGAAAGCTCTCCAGGGTCAGGACCAGGGATTTGAACTCAGGTTGTCTGAAGCCACACCCAAGCTCTAAATAATTATGCTCTGGCTTCTCCCAGGGCCTGATGATTGAAAAACAAACAAACAACTTTTTGTTGGCTGGAAGCTGTGTAATTGGAAAAAAAAATTGATTTGGGGAAGAAATAAGGGAGCATCTGGTAAAACTGAAAACCACACTCTTACTACTTACTTAGCAAAACTGTTTCTTGGTGGATGTCCTAGAAAAATGATTGCAAGGGGGCAATAGAAGGAGTCTTACACACAAATGTTCATGACATTGTTGTTCCTAGTGGCTGGTGACAAGAAACAACCTTGGTATCCATCAATAAGGAATAGGTAAATGAAATGCGGTGTATTCATTACAGTGGTTTAGGGAAATGAATTTTTTATTTGTATATGTAACCTGTTAATGGGCTTCCCTAGTGTCTCAGACAGTAAAGCGTCTGCCTGCAATGCGGGACACCCGGGTTCGTTCCCTGGATCAGGAAGCTCCCCTGGAGAAGGAAATGGCAACCCACTCTAGTATTCTTGCCTGGAAAATTCCATGAATGGAGGAGCCTGGTGGGCTACAGTCCATGGGGTCGCAAAGAGTCGGACACTGAGCGACTTCACTAACAGTTCAGAAACATACTGGGTGAAAATACGATTTGCAAGAAAAAACAAAACACAGTAATTTAGTCTATGGAAATCAAACACATAAAATGATTATTTATTGCTTATAAATATATGTATATAAAAGCATGAAAGGCAAGAAGACTACAAATTCACAAAATCTTTAATAGTGATGTTCTCAGGGAGAGGGGATGTATGCTTAGGGTACTGGGAGTAGTAGAGTCAAAGGGGTTTTAGTTTTTTCTTCCCCCTTTGGCTGTGCCTTGAAGCTTGTGGGATCTTAGTTCCCCAACCTGGGACTGAACGTGGGCCCTAGAAGTGAAATAGCCAGGGAATTCCTGGTTTTAGCTTTATTAACAAAGAAAAAAATTTTAAAGGTGGTATCTATACATTATTTGTGTAACTAAAATAAAATAGAGACAAAAATAAGAAAAATGTTGTTAAAAGTTATTTGGTGGGAATGTGTTATGTTACTCTTGTACTCTGTGCTTTTCCAAAATAAAAATATTGAGGGGGAAAAAAAAGAAATTACGGATATTTTAATCAGAATAAAAAAAGTAAACAGAATAATGTCATCCCAAGTACCCATTACTTAGCTTCAAGAATAATTAAGCATTTTGCCTTTATCGTCTTCCCTATACTTCTAGTCACTCCCCACAACCCCACAAATGTTTCTGAGGTGAAACGTACATAGGTTGAAATGGCATCATACTATTTTGATCACAGAATCTGACAAACTTTGATAAAGCTCTGTAACCTACCCATATCAAGACAAAGATACTGCGTTCTCTTCTGGAAGTTTTATGTGTAGGTTTATTAACCATGTCAAATTTACTGTTGTGTATGGTGAGAGATGGGGGCCAAAATCCATTTTTCTGCTCCAGTTGTTTCAGCACCATTTGTTGAGACTTTCCTCTCCCCACTGGTACCGTCACAGAAAATCATTTGACTACATTTATGTGTCTTTTCCCAGACTCTATTCATTGATTGTTGTTCTACTGTAACTTTATTATTTTTTTAAGTTTTATTATTGGACTACTGGGGCTTCCCAGTGACACCAGGGGTGAAAAATCTCCGTGCCAATGCAGGAGACACAAGAAATGTGAGTTCAGTCCATGGGTTGTGAGGATCCCCTGGAGGAGGAAATGGCAACCCACTTGAGTCTTACCTGGAAAATGCTGTGGACAGAGGAGCCTAGCAGGCTCCAGTCCATAGAGTTGCAAAGAGTTTGGACACAACTGACCATACATGTATTGAAGTGTAATTGCTTTACAATGTTGTGTTAGTTTCTATTATACAACTAAGCCCTACTGTAACTTTACAGTAATCTTGAAATCAGGTATTTTAAGGCCTCCAGCTTGTACCAATGTTTTGTTTCAGAATCAGCTTGTCAGTTTGTACATTTTTAAAAATCATTAAGTTAAATCTTTCTGAAGAGTAATGACACCTTAACACCATTGAGTGTTCCAATTCATGAATATGTTAAAATTTCCTTAAATTCTCTCAGCAGTATTTTGTAGTTTTTGATATAGAGCTCTTGTCCATCTTCTGTTAAATTTATCCCTGAGTATACCATGTTTTTCACCATGGCTTCCCAGGTGTCTCAGTGGTAAAGAATCCGCCTGCCAATGCAGGAGACACAGGTTCAATCCCTGGGTCAGGAAGATCCTTTGGAAAAGGAAATGGCAACCCACTTCAGTATGCTTGCTTGGAAAAACCCATGGACAGGGGAGCCTGGTGGGCTACAGTCCATGGGGTCGCAGAGTCAGACATGACTTAACACATGTCATGGTTTTTAGTTTGGATTCAAGGTTGCTATTATATAAAAATACAATGTATGCATATTGCCTTTGAAAGTTGTAACTTGCCTTTAGTCTTAGCTTTCACTTGTTAGTTCTCACAGTGTGAAAATGAATTTTCTATTAGGACTTTCGGTATACACCGTCATACCATCTGTGAATAAAGCCATTTTATTTCTTCTTTTCCAACTGTTATGTATAGATTAACAGCATTAGGCTGGCCTTATAAAATGAGTTGGGCAATGTTACTGCCTCTCTATTCTGAAAGAGTTTATGTGTGATTGGTATTGTTTCTTTCTCAACTTTTTTAACTTGAGAACAAAGGAGACAGATAGGAAATAGCAATCAGACCCAAATGCTAACAACAATTGCATTAAATGTAAATAGACCAAGCACTCCAATTAAAGCAGTTCAGTGGGGAAAGGAAGGCTATTTCAACAAGTGGAGCTAGAACAACTGGCTATCCACAGGAAAAAATAAAACAGAACCTTGAACTCACAGCATGAAAAAAATTATTTCTTGACTAATAAATTATGGCTCACAGACTTAAGTGTTAAATCTAAAACTAGAAAGATTCTCAAAGAAAATATATCAGAAACTATAAGAAAATATCTTCATGACCTTGGGGTAAGATCTCCTAAACAGGTCAAAGCAACCACTGAAAAGAAAAATGAATCTTCTGCTCCTTGTAAGAGTTGTTAGACAAGCAAGAGGTCAGGAGAAAACACATGTATCTTACAAAGGATACACATTATTCCTATCCAGAATACACAAATGACTCCAACACCTCAAGGACACAAAAAGCAAATGAATCGATTTTTAAAATGGGGAAAACACTTGAACAGTCTCTTTATATCTGACACAGAAATGGCCAGTAAGCACATGCAAACTGTTAGAACATACTTAACAGAGAATTGCAAACTAAAAACCACATTGATATGCCACATTAGAAAGCCTGACAAACCAAATCCTGAGACAGGATATATCTTGCTGGTGGGAGTGTAAAACAGTACAACCACTTTGAATAACTGTAACTTTCTTTTTTATAACTTTTTAATATAATTAAAAAATATAAACACCTAACAATTTCACTCCTAAGTATCCAAAAACATAAAAACATGACTACAAAAATAATTTTAAGAATGTTAATAGCAGCTTTATTCAAAATAATCTTAAATGGGAAGCCACTCAAAGGCCATCAAAAGGAGAATGGATAAACAATCAATGGTTTATTTATTCAGTGGGATATACTAAAATATAAAGAAACAAAGTATTGATACGTTGATACATGCAATAAAATGGGTGAATTTCACAGACGGAAAGAAGCCTGACACAAAGGAGCACAGACTCTATGATTCCATTTATAAGAAGACGTTCTCCAACAGGCAAAACAAATCCACGGTAACACAAATCAAAATAAAGGCGGTAGCTCTAAATGCTACCCCTAACATAGAAAAAAGCACGTAAGTACCGCGCAGTGTCATGTTCGTAGCAGGTGCGTGGTAGATGACCGCGCCCTAAATAATGAAGATACCGGGAAAATTGGTAGGGGTAGAATTCCTAGGCCGGTCCGCCGCCTCCCCTGGGAGGGCAACTTCGAAGACCTCGGCCCCGCCCTCTCTAAGCCCCGCCCCTTCCGCTTCACGACGTTCGCTCTGCGTCTGAGAAGGGAATGGTTCAGCCCAAAGCCAGATACATAAGTTCTTTCTCAGTCGCAAAAAACGACCCATCGTTAGTCTTCTATAGTTTAATTCTCAAATGTATCCATTCTCGAAATACCCAGGGTCTGCCCTCTGACACTAAAAACAAAACAAAACAAAACCTTCCACGCAATGGTAGCGTCCTCCTGGCTAGCGGTCGATCGCGATGGAGCACACCATTCAAAGAGGGGGAGGGATTAAGGTTTGCATCAAAACGAATACCTCCTCCTTTCCAAAAGCGGTAGCTAACCAGGCTAGGAGGGGGGGAAAAGTAGAGGGGTTAGCAGCCTCCTTTCACAAGTAATGGGAACCAGTATAAAAGACCCTTTCTCTTTCTACTTCCCTCACGTCGGGTGAATAGTGGGCTGCTCCGAAAAAAAGAAACCGGAAATGCTGCCGCAGTGGTAGAAATGTAAATGTAGAGCCAAACAATAACAGGGCGTCTGAGGCCGGGCTACTTCTGCAGGGCTTCGCGGGCAAAACTCTCGTTTAGCACGCCCCCCTTCCACGACTGACAGCCTTTAACCGGATTTTTCTCCATCTAGCGGAGCTGAGAGCCAGTGGGAAATATTACTCCAGGAAGGACAAAGGTCCGGAAGTTATGGGACCTTAGCTGCTTGGACTTTCCGGATCACCCGAACCACTTCGGAAAGGAGCCCGAGATTCCATTGGGATGCTGCACGTTCTAAAATCCTGAGCCATGAATCCCTGAAGTTTCGAGATCCGAAAGTCCCAGACCCTGATGCTTTGTGCATCTTATTTCACACCCCATGGGACGGAGTT